TTACAAATACGGATAATCTTACGTTAATATTTACTATTAACAAATAAATTTGGTCCAAAAAAATTAATCAATATCCGAAGCCGAAGCCGAAGCCGAAGCCGAGCGACGACGACGACGGCGCGAGCCTTGCTTTCTTCTTAACTCTTTAAGAGCTACAAGAAGAGCAATTATATATATACCCACCAAAAATGTCTTCCACTTCCAATATGGGACAATGTCTCATTGTTAAGAGGGGGAAACTTAAAATTTTACTCAAAATTTCATTTTCCCTCCATTTCCCATTCACCCTCATTTTAAGAATATTACATCTTAAAAATAAAACCTCAACATGCTTAACCATATGAACATTCTTTTGTCCTGAAACTCAGCAATAGCAATAATCATTGTGAATATGGATTCAAGATTTTACCTCTTTTAAACTTAGTTCTATGTCTAGTTTCACTTCTAGTCTCATCTGCAGAAGACACTGCACCGTACAATGATATGTCAATATCAAAATTTAATATTCAAAAACTTGGAAGAGAAAAACATAAATCTTCTTATAATAGAAAGTAGACAAGTATTACCTAAAGGGAGAGAGTTATCTCCTAGGCAATGAAAGAGTTCATCAATCCAACTCTCATCAGATATTCTTTGGCTTGTTAATAAAATCAGCATACTAAATCTACAAATGTCAGCTTCAAGTTTCATCGAATTATTTTTCGATGGTGAAGCTAATGCTCTCCATGTCCTCAAACACTGATTGCAGCCTTTAGCGAGTCCTCCTTCTGAATCCATTAGACTGCAATCATCTCTCAGACTTTTCAATCTGCTTCCTAACTCGTTCACTACGTCGATCTCTGAATAATCAGAGCAGCCCCCTGCACCACTAGTCAGCTTTTCAATGCCACAGCTAAAAGTATCAGAACTAGTGTTCTTCATCGAAGTTAAGCAGTCCATCTGTTGTGTGGAATTAAGAAAGATATGTCCTGTTTGGTTTGTCCAGCGTGCCAATGCTTGTAAATATCTATTGAAAGGTAATCCACAACAAGGTTGGGTCAAGAAACCATCCCAATTTCTGTCCAAAGTAGTACAATCCTCCCCAGATGATGAAGAAATGTTAATACTCAGGACACAGTTATTGGAGCTACTAGTCTCAGAAAAAACTAAGTCCAAAGATATGGAGAAAACCATGATGTACATAATTAACACTGGTACTTTGAAGCAATTCATTTCTTGAAATGCTAAAGGGTACTCTAAATTAAGGGTGGAACCATTAAACATTTGCTCATATATTGACACAATCAATGTAGGCTATATAATGTTTCTTCATAAAGAAAAAAGGAGAAAAGTTCAAGTAACAAAGAGAAGCCAAATGGCTGGCTAATAAGGGTCTTTTTCTTGTTTCCAATTGTAGAGCATAACATTATTTAATCCATCATTAGATGACATAAGACAACTTTCTTTCTTTTTTTTGGAAAAGTTCATTTAAAATCTAAGATAATTTGTTGATTTTAGCATTTGTAGATTCGTAACATTAAGTAAGATACGATAAAAGACAAATGCCGGACATGGCAAAATCAGGAAAATATTGAAATTTGATGTCACCTTGTGTTGTAGTGTTTGGTTGACGAAGGACTCAATCTTACACCGGAAAAAATAAATCAATTGTTCTAGCAACAACTAAACTAGTTAAGCATTATATTTATTTG